AGAGAGAGAGAGAGAGAGAGAGAGAGAGAGAGAGAGAGAGAGAGAGAGAGAGAGAGAGAGAGAGAAAGAGAGAGAGAGAGATCGAACGAAACTGCATATCGCCACCACTGTTTCAAGTGTACAATATAAATGAAATGTCATAAAATTAGCTCAATCTCGGTTGAGGATTAATGGATCGGTTTTGTAGAGAAAAATGACACGGCAGCAGATATCGCACGCGGTGAGAAGCAGCTCGGGGATCATATTCGCGCGATCTTGAAGCACTATCAGCAAGAAGATCCGGTGGGACTACCTGGAGCACCGATACCGGACCCAATGTCAGTGCCGGATATGAAACATTCCTTCTCCATGTACACCATGGACTTCAAGCAGATCAACGTTTACGGTCTTTCGAAATTTCGGATCGTGAATGTGCAGTCGGAGCTGGCCTTGATGCAAGTGAGTGTCCGGCTCTAAATTATGTCTCATTCCAGCCCCCGTTCTTACTCTTTGAATGAACAACCCTCGTTACGAAAGGAAAAAAAGAGTAAGGAAAGATAAATGGATAATAGAAAGGAAAGAATCATCGTTCTGTCCTCTTAACTCCCCCCCAAGAAGATTATATCTGTGTTATCGGTCGGCCCTCGTATTTCTTTTGTCTGTTATCCTCTGTATTGAGATATACATTGATATACAAGGTATACATTGTAGTCATGACCTAGTAGTCGAAATAGCATGTATGTATTCCGTAGCGATGACTAACGATCGAAACGTCATCCAATTTCGACGAAACGACATCGGTTGACAAAATTGGATCGCACACGGTTCAACTTCGAAGGAAAAAAGACGATCGCCGCGATCTGAGTAATCGCGTTTGATTTACAAACGAGAAGAGCAATCTTTACAAAATATTTATTTGAATGAAAACTATTGGTCGATCGTGAAATAGCACGATTTTAATTAATAAAGCGGAGCTGTCACCCATCCCCTTTAATTGCGGCAATCTTTTCGATCTCTGCTTGACTTGAAGTAAAAAAGACGATCGCCGCGATCTGAGTGATTGCGTTTGATTTACAAACGAGAAGAGCAATCTTTATAAAATATTTATTTGAATGAAAACTATTGGTCGATCGTGAAATAGCACGATTTTAATTAATAAAGCGGAGCTATCCCCTACCCCCCTTAATTGCGGCAATTCTTTCGATTTCTGTTTGACTTGAAGTAAAAGAGCCGATCGCCGAGATCTGAGTAATCGCGTTTGATTCGCAAACGAGAAAAGCGATCTTCTTTATAAAATATTTATTTGAATGAAAACTATTGGTCGATCGTGAAATAGCACGATTTTAATTAATAAAGCGGAGCTGTCCCCTTAATTGCGGAAATCCTTTCGATCTCTATTTAACTTTCTTCTCGCAGGTTTCTGTTTCGTTGAACATCCGGACACTGGATATCCGCGGATTGTACACGTTGTCGTCGTGGCTATCGCGATCGGCCGGTGATTTCACCGTTGAATTGACAGGGGTGAATGTCCAAGGTGTCGCTAGGCTGGAGGTCGGCAACGATGGCAAGCTGCAAGCGCAGAACATCGACATGGACTTGACCTTCGGGAAGATCGACATGGACTTCAAGAATCTGGGCTTCCTGGGTTCTGTCTTCCAAGGAGTCATCAATTCCGTGGGAACGTTCATATTCGACAGTATCAAGCCCTTCATATTGAAGGAAGTCAACACTAACATACGGTAAAGACAGATTCGTTTAGAAAGATACAATTCTCTTCCGGGTAAGAAAGAACAGCGATAAAACGTTACAGAGGCGAAGTCAACAAGCAAATATCACAGCTGCCACAGTACTTCCCGAACTCTATATCACCGTTCGATATGGCCGTCGCCGAGGCTCGCCGGCAAGTATCTGAATTAGGGTACGACCCGTATCAGGTAAAAAATTACAGCCAAACGAACGGGATATTCGCCATGACGTCGACGCATACCTGGATCACTGGCCTGGCGAGTTTCTACAGGATGGGTAACATCACGTTGAGCATGGAAAACAGAACAGTAAGTGCTTGTCTACAATTAGCTCGATCGTTCAGCGACCGAAACAATTTCCGTTAGATCTGCGAAACGGATTGAAAATAATGACAATTATTGCAAGGATAAAATATTTGACCAGTTAGTTGTGTTTGACGAGTATGCTCGTCGTGAAGAAGTGGCAGTATTTTGTGTCACGACGAGTATACTCGTCGTGCGTAAAAAATAGTGACCACTGGCTATATAAATTGTAATTTTAGTGAAAACAAAAAGATATTCTCAGGGACCGAAACGATTTTCGTTAGATCTGCGAAGCAGATTGAAAATAATGACAATTATTGCAAGGATAAAAGATTTAACCAGTTAGTTGTGTTTGACGAGTATACTCGTCCTGCGTTAAAAGTAGTGACTACTGGCCATTTAAATTGTAATTTGAGCGAAAACAAAAAGATATTCTCAGGAACCGAAACGATTTCCCTTAAATTTGCGAAACAGATTGAAAATAATGACAATTATTGCAAGGATAAAATATTTAACCAGTTAGTTGTGTTTGACGAGTATACTCGTCCTGCGTAAAAAGTAGTGACTACTGGCCATTTAAATTGTAATTTTAGCGAAAACAAAAAGATATTCTCAGGAACTGAAACGATTTCCCTTAAATTTGCGAAACAGATTGAAAATAATGACAATTATTGCAAGGATAAAATATTTAACCAGTTAGTTGTGTTTGACGAGTATACTCGTCATGGAGAAGTGGCAGTATTTTGTGTCATGACGAGTATACTCGTCCTCCGTAAAAAATAGTGACCACTGGCTATTTAAATTGTAATTTCAGTGAAAACATAAAGATATTCTCAAATTTCAAGATGTTTAGAATATTTTCAGGCCAGGCCAGAATAAAACAAACAAATAAAAAATATGAGTAAGATTAGAAAAGAATCACGATATTGGTGTTCGACGTGCAAACTACCGCTTTGCTGAATACCACAGTAAGCAATTTGAATTTGTAACTTTTATAAGTAATTGATTTTTCCTGCATCTTTCGTTTATTATGTATGTACTCTATGTTAATGTTAATTCTATTTTTATCGAATATTTTAACAACGACAATGTGTTTGACGAGTATATAAAAAGGAGGCGCCACAGCTAACTGGTTAAGAAAACTCGAGAAGTCATTTCAAGGAAGATCGTTTGTTTGATCGCTTCGGCAAACGAAACATACTTATACGATAAAACTCTGTGGAAAAACATAACTCGTCTGCTCTAATGTTCAAGGCGATAAAAAATGATGATCTTTCGAGATTTGTCGAATCGTCTGTGTACGTTAGCCCGATTATGTATACATTCATCTTTGGACATCGTTCAGCGATTTCATCACACACCCACTTACAAAAGTGCAGGTTGAGAGCCAAACGATTACCGTAGTTATATCATCTAATTACGTCGCGCGCATTGTAAATGAAAATACATCGGCGGTTAATCAGCCGTCGATCTGTATCCGTAATCGATCTTCCGCGTTATGTCATCGATTCGGTGGGCGTTAAAAATACTGTGTCTTGACATTCCTTATAAAGGTGTATGCAACGATCGACGTTGGGACTCAGGAGATCGAAGGAAAAACCCATTGGGAAGTGGGCCTGGTCGGTGGATTCCTCATGAGGGCAGGTACAGTGTGCTTCACCGTGCAGTACTTTAGGGTCCAAATGAAACTAAGCCAGCCTTTGGACACCCGGAAGAGGCCCAGCCTCGAGGAACTTAATCTCGAGTTGGGCAACATCCAAACCAGGGTCCACGGAGCTGGAACTATCGATTACATAATGGAAGGCAGTATTAACGTACTGCCAAATCTCTTAAGGTTCGATTCCCAAATTGGCAATTGCGAATGTTCACAATTTTAGCCCTCGTACGCTCCTCAAAGGTAGTTGCACGAAAGATGAAGCATTTCGTTGTACATATGAGCCGTTTATTTTGAAAGTGGCATAAGTCATTTTGTTTTTAAGTCGATATATTTAAAGGTTTGCGTTTTAACACGTTTAAAAATATGGATGCTAACTTTCGAGAAGATTTACTTGTATTTGTTATCTCAGGATACTGATATTTTTCTTAGTATAAATAATTTCGTATAAACATTAAAAAATCACCACTTTTCATTACGGTAAAGTGACTTATGCCACTTTCAAAATAACCGGCTCATATTTGTACTCGTGCTCGCGAAGAAGAGCGTGCGATGGCTAACAGGTTTCCGATAGCTGAAGTGTAAACCAAGCCTTACAGCAAAACAATTTCCGTATCAGGTATCAGATAATGGATGCCATAGAGGAACCCCTTAAGAAACGCTTGCAGACCGAGCTAAATAAGGTGGACGTCGAGAAACTAATTCACGACAAGATACCGGACATCGAACAACAGGCCAGATACATTCAAGGCTTAGTCCCTTCCGAAGAGACCCTTCTGGAAGAGCCATTGTTGTCCGAAGATCAAGACGAGCAACCGTTCTCGGATAGCGAAGAGAATCGGGGACCGTCATAAATTTGCCAAAGATAGAGTACAATTTAACGATTAGATTATTTATGTCTAGATAATAAATCAATTCTGCCAATAATTCTTCGATGCGAGTACCCGTATCCGACGACGTATACGCTGAATATTTTGTAAATATTTTTACATTTTACCAAAGTGGACACTTCTTAAATATATCGTTCTTACACGGAATTCAAAACTTCGTATTCTGATTATTTAACATTTATTTGAAAAAGTTAACAAAAAGCACAGTAGCGCGTACACTATATCGTAGTTACAGTCGAACACAATATCTTCGTAAGTGAATTTGAATAGATTATGCATTCTATTTGCTATACTAAATCATACTGTGTTACAATAAGTGCTCTTATATAACAGTTGTGCGCTGCACTTTTCGGTACAAAAAACATAAGATTCGTTTTGTTCAGACTTTAGTTACAATGACAAGATTAATCACATTTCAAACAGTTGCGGCAATCATTATTTATGAACATTTTATTAACGAAAAATATTACATAGTAAGGAAACCAAAGACTTGTAGAACAAAATCATGGAATCTTCTTCGATTTTCGATTCACCGGAATCCAACAAGGATTACAAATTCTTCGAGAATATTTATGTAAAGTCCTATAAGGAAAGCAAATTTTTCTATCGTTGAAAAGAAAACGATTCGACAGATATTTCAACGATGGAAAATTTGCTTATCCGTACATTCGAATTTTCCAATTAATTCGGATAGGAAAGGTTCTACTGCGAGATAGGTGAATCGACGGCTGTACATCATTTATGCTCGGATGGCTGGTGCGCTGCTGCGCGTGATGGGCACGATTCTTTCGCCGGGTGCGGGTAAAGCGAGTCTAGGTGCTGTAATCGTGAGGACACCATCGGATGATAAGCTTGGCTTCACGTGGCCGATGTCGTATCCTTGCGGCAGCATGTATCGACGTACAAACTGCCTCGATATGTAGCCGTGCTCGTCTTTCTTCTCTTCGTGCTTGCCTTCGATGGTGATGCATTTGTCGTCGGTCTTGACGACGATCTCTTCAGGGGCAAATTGTTGCACGTCGACGATTACCTGGAATTTATCCTGGCCTCTCTCAACCGTCTGCGTCGCTCCGCCAACCTGTAAAACAACGAAGATCAGCAATATTTTCCTTATGTCAACATATCTTTAACCAGTTAAGCGCGTTTCTCGTGTATAAACGTCGAACCAAATCTTTATTACGGTGCGTTCGACGTGTTTACTCGTCGTTAAAAACATAAAATCACCATTGACTATGAAAACTCGAAATTTTAATAAAATACAATAAGAATATTATTTGGTGGGATGTTTCCTTTATATTACCGATAGAAATGCTAAGTATTTTATACGGAGGGGGTGGTGGGAGTCAAGATACTGGTGTAAGACCTGCGAAGTGCCACTTTGTGTGGTACCGTGTTTCGAGAAATATCACACCGAACTCAATTGAAATTCTTAATATCTTTTTTTCCACATGTGTCTATCTTGTTTATGTATTTTATTATTATTTGAAAATTTTTAAGTTTATAGTAACAATTACTTTTCAGAAATAAATCGTTAAGTTTTTCTTAAATAAAAATAGTTCTTCGTTTTTCATAGACGTGTAATAGCACCATCTCGCCCTGCATTTGTCGTGTATACACGTCGTCGCTTGATTTTAATTCCGCACACTGTGAGGGTTTTTCAAACTAAATTCGACGCTTAACTGGTTAAATGCTAAGTTTACGTCTATCAGCTGTTAGAGCAACAGCTGAGTCCAGTGTCCAGCCAAATGTGTAAACACTTTCTCCAGACATGCGCAGTGCCAGTTCGTCGTTTAAATTTCATTTGAATACCAGTCTTCGAGACAGTTGTTACCAACGTACCTGATGCTCGAGGTCGCGCATCATGTCCCTCCATGGTCGGAAATATTCGTTGAAGGACGGAAGTGGTGGTGCATCAAAGAAATTGTCTCTGCTGCTCAGGCGTTTGAAATGCTCTTCGAGATCACGGTGATAACGATCCATGTCTTCCCACCAATTGCGGAAAAGGTTCCTCGATACTAACGCCATCTTAAATGGTGTTCGATCTACAGAAAAAAAAACACACACACGCAATTTATAGACAACGCTAATTACCGTTCGATTGTATACTTCGTATTCGACGTATATCGCTACGCGTTAATTGTATCAGCTATAGTTTATACAAATTTCCAGTTTCGGGGATTATTAGAAATGCAAGAACGTTCGATTTATGAAAAAACTGATCGAATGAATCAAGATAACGCTAAGGACACGAAAACTTATCGCGAAGGAAAATAAGACGCATAAGTAACAACAACAGTCGACCGTCTTCACGCGTTTCTGGTGTCTATTTTTAGAAGTACAGGTATACTACGCGAAACTTCCTGCCAGTTTGCTCCGGTAAAATCACCAACGTTCGCGAACGTTTTCAGATATTCGAAGAGGTGAAAACGTTCGCTACATCCTGACAACGGTTATAAAAAATTACAACGCCGATTAAACCGACGAATTAACAAACGGAAGTCACGTTAACACTACAACACCTTATTGAGGAGCAACGGCGTGTGTCGGTACGTCGTACGACCTTAAGTAATAGATAACCACAAAACACCAAAACAGTGTACACATATGTACCTCCAAAAACGTTCGCTGCGAATCACAAATCACAGACAGATGAAATAATCGCTTTCGGTCGTTCGTAGAGTATGAAATATGTCGTTCGAAACTCGCTCGTAAAGTCTCTGCGAAGTTGTCGCTTCGAGTTGCACTTCTGAATGACTGCGCAGCACCGGCAGTCATCGGTGTTTATATTTGGTTTCGCGCCTTTTTCGAGATCCTTCGTTCCGTGCATGCGCAGTAGGCTGGCGTTTCAAACGGTCTCGCGATACCATCGCGGATTTCCCCACTCCAAATTCTTGCTCCCAAATCGACGAATCACCGGACATGTCTCCCGTTCGTTCTAGTAATTTCCTGAGCCTTCCGTTGGAGCGGTTCGAACCATTTGGGTTTCTTCTACGTTTTTCTACGCGCCACCAGCATAAAAAAGAATTGTTTATGTCGTAACAATCGCCTAAATCGTATTACAAGAATGTTTGTATAATCGATGAATACGAACGGCGCTTTATGCTAAAATCATGGAATGAATATGCAATGAATATGCAATGGAAAATACGAACGAAAAGAGTCCAAATTATGTTCTAGTCTGACTTTGTTAGTCGATAACCGCATAGAGTATTCGAAATATTGGAATAGTAAACGCGAACCGTAGGTATTTCTACTGAATAAATGAAATTAGTTCCTGCTAAGGTAATTTCTGGATCGATGATGCATGCACGGAATAAACAGTTTGACATTCTAAATATAAATTTCTGGCGGACACGGTAAATCGATGACGAATAAATTTATTCTGGGACATTTGTTCGAGACGGCAGTCGATCGCTGTAGGTGTAATAAGAAATCGAATGATACAGATGCTTCTCGACTGAAATTCGATACGGTGGAACGCGAGCTGCATCGTTATCGAAGAATAATTTGAACTTTGATCGCGAACGATCGTGTATTGATATTCGAAAGATTAAGCGGACAATTTGAATGTAATTCTTATTAATTACAAACATATTTTCATGTACCGCATGTGAAAATTCACTTCGAATATCGCTATCGTGCGAAGATTACTTTGTTTATCTTCCGAACATTGCACATACATATTTACAATATGATGTATGTACATGCATACGTCTCTTTCTGCAATCCACTGGACGATAGCGTCCTCTACATAATAATCTGTACACTGCTCGCAGAGTCGATAAAATAGGATTAACCACAGTTTTTCTCACGCATGCGTGGTAAAACGCGGTAATTTTTAACAATTTCGTCAAATTATAAATCTCGCTTAAAATAATGCGCGAAAATAATTATTTTGCGAATTTATAAAACGTTTTGAGAAATGATCTAATTCTATAATTAGGGTATAATAAATAAGTATAAAAATATGTTTTTTTTTCCAAAATTATTTATATACTTTTGTCACACATAAAATTCAGGATTCGATGAAATAGATTCAGGAATGTATCAATGTATCATTCACTACACATTTCAATAATATATTACAATGTTTAATGCTAAAAATTTAAATTTATGTAATTGCTGTAAAAATCACTTCTATTGTACACGTTAATTTCACAAAAAGGAAATAGTTCTAAACGTTCACGGATTAAGAACCGAACTATTTTTTTCTTAGTATTTTAAAGTTGTATGTACAGAATTGTATTTCTTGTCTTAGTATCTTTTTTACTTCTGTTTTACACTAAAAGATTATTTATTATTGTTATTATTATTATTATTATTATTAATATTATTAGTATTAATATTATTATTATCGCAGTAAAATGAATTACGATGCCGGCTTGATCGGATATAGAACTTTATACGGATTGAGGATGCCGTTCGGATCCATCATATTCTTCAACTCGTGCATCAGCTCGATCTCCGACGATGTTCTGCTCATATGGAGATACTTGGTTTTGGAGAAACCAATGCCATGTTCAGCGCTAACACTGCCACGAAGACTGGACACATATTCGAAGATGAAGGGCTGCAACTGCGCCGCGATATCGGCCTCATAGTTTGGTATCGAAACTTGCACGTGGATGTTTCCATCGCCTATAATTCACGTAAAATTTGTCAACAATTACATCGACCCTCTCGATCGACTGTTCTGTCGTACCTAAATGACCGTAACCGCTAATCCTTATGATGCGGGGATCGCGCACGCGGTCCCTGAGCATCTCGATCACTTTGTAGAAAGACGGCAGAGGTATCGAGACATCATACTTGAATACGTATCCTTCCCGCAGGACTCCTTCGCTGATTCGCTCCCTAAGCGACCATATATTCTACGCATAAAACAAGGCAAATCATTTGTTACATATTCTCATCGATGTATCGAAGCTTTTCGGGACTCCTTATCATCGTAGTAGGAACTTTCGATCGAAGCGTGATCCGCATGCTACGATGGACAAGGATTAGGTGAACTTCTACGTATCCAGGTTCCATGTCAACCGAGCTACTAACTTTTACTTTAGCAGGGTCCGACGTTAGAGTACCATCCTCGATCACGTCGTCCGCGAGCGCCTTCTCCACGAAGGACGCGAGCTTCGCTTCGTCGTGGGTCACGTTGCTACCGGAAGTCTCCAGCAGGATGTAAAACTCGTGTCCTCCGGGCACCGAGATCAGCGGACTCTTCAGATCGAACGCGTCCATCGACACGTCCAGCGACAACTTATCCATCATCTCGTAGGAGGATAGAATCTCCCCCAGCTCCCTCTTCGCCAGCTGAAACGCCTTGAGGACCTTGTCGAAACTGTTAAGTCCTGGAAGCGAAACGGGATCACGCTTTGCCGAAGAATAAGCGGAAGGCGTTGAAATCCTTTCTCTGTTCTCATACCTAAAAACGCGACGTTCACGGATCTGGGAAGCGGTGGACACTGAATGGCGACTTTCGTCACGATTCCCAGGGTTCCCTCGGACCCTATGAACATATGTTTCAAATGGTAGCCGGTGTTGTTCTTCTTGAGCGTGTTCAGACAGTCGACCACGTCGCCGTTCGCCTTCACCTGGAACAGACGTCGACTCGAGATCGCGACCTTTGGATTTGACTTGACGAATTGGTGTTGGAGTAAAAACGTGTTCGTCTGTGGTGAAGGAAAGTGTGTAAACTGTGGCAAACGCGCTGCGGCAAACGTTACGCATCATGCGATTGTCCAGGATTATCGAAAGACGGATAAACGCCAATTAGCTTCTACGTTACACCGAACATTTTCGATTTCGATATTTTGTAGTATTTACGTCTTTCGACTGAATATTTTTGGACACTCACAGCCTCGAGACCCAGCACGTTCCCGTGCAGATTGCCGTAACGAAGAAGCCTCAGACCGCCAGCATTCGTCGACACGCAACCGCCGATCAAGCAACTACCTTTAGCGCCGAGATCGATCGGCATCATCAAGCCTACGTCCGATAAATGATTGTCCAGATTCTCTAACACGCAGCCGGCCTCGCAGGTCAACACCCCTGCCGGTTAAGGATCATGAGGAAAAAGTGAAACAGGCGAAGACGTCGTCTAGCCGCCTTCGTCTCGGTTGGATTCGCGATTGCTCGGTCAGCCCGGCGGAATCGCGACGCGATCCGATAGCGAATGACTACTAACCTGCCAGCTCGTTCGTTTCGATGATCTTATTCATCAGCTTCATCGAAACAACGATCTCGTCGAATACCGGGACACTGCCGCCAACGAGACCGGTGTTACCGCTTTGAGGACACACGGCCAACCGATTCTTGTTGCAGTATTTCAATATGGCGGACACTTCCTCCGTGGTCTTCGGTTTTAAGACCAGACTGCTCTTCCCTGCAATGAGAAGTTGCAGAAAATTTTGTCCAGATCGGATCCGGCAATCGTGATCGCAATGCGGTTCTGATTAAGTCTGTCTTCCTGTTATCTCAAACCAGTTTCAAGTTAATCGAGTAAAGCCTGCTTCTTCCAGATAGGATACAACGCCGCGATTGTTTTGCAACGCGGCTACGCTAACGACTAGAGAGATTCTGTCGGGGTGCAGCGGTATATTAGATTCGATAATTCCTGAGAGATTAGGATGATCGATGGGTTACGACCCGTTTGTCCTTACCTCGAACGATCTTCGAGTAATCGATGTTGTAGCTCTCGCATTCCTCAGGGTCCGAGATCACCCTGTTCTGACCGAGTAGATCGTTGAAGAAGGACACGTGGGTGCTCTGGATCTTCGCGTAAGGACCACGCTGCACTTGGTATCTGTCGGAGGTGAACGCCGGTTTCACACTCGTGGAGAACGAGCGGAAACCCGAGGCGTTGCGAAGAGTGCGGAACAAGCAACGCGAACTCATCTTTTCTGCAAGAAGATTTCGCATTCTTTTTCTAACCGATCGCATCCGAGAAATCGTCACCGATCATGGTCGATCTCCCGTTCGCAAATCGATGATCTAGCGATCGTCGCTGCAGTCGAGCCGGAGGGATTCGCGAGCCCCCCGAAAAAGTCTCCATGATTAAATCAGTTTCGTCGAACTGACCCGATAAAAGTTGTCCCCGTTGGCCGCGGTTCATATCGCACGATTAAGGTAAATTTAGGTGTCCGGAATGATATTCTCGGAATGAGGGCTCCGCTAATTGAAACGCGACATTCCCATAACGCGGCTAAAGATCGCGCGCGGCGAAAGTGATCTAGAACGATCTGCGGCTGGATTTCTCTTGAATTACAACAGAAATATCGGTGTGACAAATTCGTTAATTATTTCTGCAGAAATAATTAACGATTATTACACAAAGTAAAGACAACGAAGAGATCGCTATGATAGTTTTCGATTAGGAATTAATACACGGACGTCCATGGATATTTTTCGAAACTGAAACCGAGGAAAATGTCACCCTATCGGACCTGTATAAAACAAAATCTCGATTAACCTGATTGTTTAAACATCGTTTAAACATTTTAGTATACTCGGCTGCAGCCTACAACAAGACGATACAATATTTCTGGACATCTCGTTTGCAGCAAAACGTTTATTAAACAAAACGATGCTCAATTACGAAACCACTTTCCTCCTTCGAAGAAGAGAATCAACAGGTTCGCCCGATGAAACCAATGTGCTGGAAATCATTAATACATTTTGCAACGAATGCTCCCCGGCGAAATATTCGCTGGCATGGTCGCGGGCGAGGGGTGCTCGTCGAAATGAATATTCGACGTCCGCGAGCTGGTTTCCCCGATTCAAAAAGATCAATTAAGAAACTGTTGGATAAGGAGTACTTGCGAGCAATTAAAAAGAATAAACGGAGAACGATGGAGGGTGCGTGATCCGCGATATAGGAAAAGGAAGAGGGAATTTCGTGTCGAAGCGGAGGTATCGGCGGTCGCATGCCGAGGACCAGGCGTGGCGTAATTACGTGCCCCCGGCTGCTTCCATTTTCTACACGCTAACTCCTCTCCTGATCGACGGACATCGAATATTATAATCCACGATTATGGGCAACTCCCCTCCTCCTCCTCCTACTTCCTCCCCCCACCTTTTTCTTGGTCGCCGCGCCCCCCCACCCTGGACGCGTGTGTGTCGTTCAAGAGGATTCGCGAGGAGGCGACGCGTGGTTGAATTACGATTCCCGCGTGAAGAACGGTGGGGAAAATAAGGTCAGGGGTAGAGGGGTCGTAGGTGCGACGAGAAAGGATGGCTCGAGAGAGAGACAGATGGACGGAGATGCAAATCCGTATCGGGCAGAGGGAGGGGGAAGAGGACAACGCGAATGGAAAACAGAGAAGCCAACAAGGAGACTAGAGTGGGAAGGGGACCAATCGTCGCGACGACTGAAACGCCGTACGTTTCTTTCTTTGTATGGACGTAACAGGCTTCCCGACACATTCGTGTGCCCACTGTATGTGCGTGATCGCGCCAACACATCTCTCTCCGTTCGTGTACGTACACTCGCATTCAGATGGCTCCGCGGCTATAACACGAAGGACCAACACAACGATCGCCAAGTACCTACACCAACGGTACGTTTCGTACGTACGCAGAGGGAAACGGTTTACTTGTGGATGTGAAAAACGGGTATATATCGGTGCCAGCCAGCTAGAATATACATAGCGAACGGTTTCGCACGGAGGACGCATGCGCGACACCGCCGACAGACCGCGAACGCTAATTTCTTAGTGGCGGCTCGAATCATTAACTTGTTACCTTGGCAACCCCGGTCGACCTAAACCATTGGCTGCCGCGTTCCCCCACCTTCCCCCGTCCGTACGCTCTATCGGTCGAACGAGAAACTAGCGTTCCTCGCCGCCACGCTTCCTCCCGCGGAATATATTGTAATTTTCCTAACCTCGCCGCGAACCGGACTATAGGCTGTCGCCGTTTCTCTCGACCCACGCACAGACACAATCACCCGACCCCTTTCTGTAACGATGTGTTCCGCGCGAGAGAGGGTGGGAGCGAGAGAGAGAATGAGAGGGAGAAAGAACATGCCGCCGTAGGGACGTGGTTGCGTGGCGCAGCCACGACTCTTCCTACCCTTCGACGCGCCAACGTCCTACCGCCGTGTGTTTCTTTGTCGAAATCCATGACCGGTATTGGAAGATGACCGATAAATCGGACGCGTTTCGATCTTTTCGAGACCACCCCACTCCTCTGGCTTTGCTTGTTCCGGGAATTATTGTATCTAGTCCGCGAAAGAAATTTTTGCTTTAACAATATCCGATGGAATATTGTAAATATTTTGGTTTTCGGATTCTTGGGGACACGAACGATACTTGGCGACGAATATTGGACCGATGCGGTCGAGAGGTCCTGAAATAGGTCCGCAATTAGAACTAGCTGAGATCTCGAGCTTGAGATCGATACGAGGAAAGAATTGTCATGGCACTATGTAGAACGCTCTGGTATTCCCCATTGGAATCACAGTTTTAGCGGGCCAAGTCGATGGTGGAATACAGGAAACTCCAGGTAGTCGATATGTATTCGCACAAACGAGTATCGCCTTTCGTTTTCTGAATGGCGAAAAAAATGCAGGACATACTTTCTACGGATTGGACAGAGGTCCACTACATAGACGCGAAGGACCAATCCCGAACGAAATCACATTACGGGGTTTTGAGCAGGGCAGTATAAGCTCGGCTTAGAAACAGCTGTGACAGGAGCGTACCTGGCGATCTTGAAATTCGGGTGTTAGATATGCGAAGGCAAATATTAATTTAAAAATCTCTGATCGTACTATTTTGAAATTTAATTTGATAAACTTAGAGCGAACAAATATATTCATTTTAAATTGTACCGCATTTCTCATTGAAAAACGACATTTAATAAGTAGGAATATATTTTCCGTTCGGCTTATCAAATTTCATACATTACAAAGTACACATGTACATATATGTCGATGTTCCGGCTTTACGAATACAACTGAAAACTGGTACACGCGCTAACAATTACAGCATAATATTTGTTAACGATTTCCTTCATCCATATATAATAAAGGAATTTTCAGGAATTAATATAATTCAGGAATTTTTTAATAAATGTTTTTTTGCTGACTACACACACACGTATACTTGGTGTTAATATAAAAACTGATAAGATGTAAATGTATACCAAAGAGGAAATTATTTTTCCAGACAAGAGTGAAAAAATGATGGGAAAACATTTGGATTGCATACAGTCTTCCGGAAATGTTCCTGCGAAACAAATAAGAGCGATCGATAAAAATAAGTATAAACAATATCGCGTACCCTGTAACGTCTGGGGTGAAAGTTCGGTTTCGTTCGCCCCTGATGGTATCGTTGAGTATACTGCGAAATATTCCGCGGACTATAATCGGATGTACGTACATCGAGCAGCGTGCTCGTGTGTTGGTAAACGGAATCTGTGTAAGTCCGAAGTAAGAGTATGAGTACCGTTACGGGGCATGCGCCCGCAGCCACCATATCCAATGGCCCCGCCTTTCACAGCGCAAACGATGCCTTTGGGATTTGTCCTCACTGGACCAATGGGCGAACGAGGATACGGTACGGGACGGGAGAGGTGAGGTTATAAGTGACCATGTGGTGGGGACTAGACATGGAGAGGGGTGGCGAGGGGAGGGAGGAACGGAGAGAAGCGAGGGGTTCTGTAGATCGTGTGGGAGCAGGGAGGCAGACAACGAATGCGACTGCGAATGCTCACGAAAGCTCGCGACGTCAACGTATAACAAAAACTTTGTTTAAAATTCGCCCAGTGTTGTTATTTTCTTTTTCTCGAAGGCGATAGTGCACGTTAGAAAGTTCGGTCTTGTTAACAGTGGAATCGGTGGCGGTGAGTGTCCACGGCGTGTTCGAAAACGTGATAGGTGTGACTGCGCAGTCGCCATGTGAGTACCTGAACAAGTTCCTAAAACTCTGTGCCGTCTTGCGTGCTTTCGATGCTTTTTAATTCCCCTGTAGACCCATCTAGTTCGTATTTCCAAACCGATTGCCGTCGTGTATGCTCAAGGATAACCTCACCGGAGAGTTACCGAAAGACAGTCATCGAGTATATAACAACTACGGTGTGTTACGTCCCGCCGGATCTTCGAACGTGCTTTATTTTGTAATCCAATATGTCGGCGTTAGGGACGCGCTGTACCGTATTCAGCGAGACACGATTCTACTGTTTTTTCCGCGTATTTCAATTCCCACGGTGTATAAATGTACATTGTAAGAACACTTTCATGAGAGACCCGCGCGTGTTGTTATTATCATTGTCCGTCGTTATTACCATTATGGCGAAATCCATGTTGTCAACCGCCCCCTATCACCAGTTGTTTCTCCCCTTCTCTCTCTCTCTCTCTCTCTCTTATTTTTCTTGTCCCCCTTCTCCTTGCCTCCCCCTTCAGTCCGCCTTTCAATCGTATTTCCCGCTCAGAGAAATGCTCTTCCCCCTTTCCCGTCGACCCTCCTCGTCCGGCCACTAATTATGGAGGTACTGGCGAGACGACATTTTGTTCCTTCCTCTCTCCGATCTCAAGATGGACCGTATCTGTACATTCTCAGTTCGTCGATATTTCGAAGCTTTTTCGCAGAAACAGCTCCCTTCCTTACCATCTGAGACCATTTTTTTTATCTCGTTTCGCCTCCAAATCTCACCGTCCTTCGTTTTTATGACTTACGGTGTACTACAGATGCTTTTTACTTATACAACTTCATAGTTACGATGAATAATCTATGAAAAAGGGGTTTTTCTTTTGTTTACGATCTGCACTGTATACACGATGCAATAAAACGTTGAACTTCATTTACATATTGCTTTAGCTATGCTTTACAGGTTAGAGTATGCTCTATGTTCATAAATATTCAAATTCTAATATTTGTTAATGCTGGATTTCTATGGAAACTAATTTTTCAACTTGATTAAAATGTAGCTACTTATTCAATGATTTATATATCTCGTATAACTATTATGAAACATTAGCATCGATATGTACATACATGCAAAATCAGTTTTCAAACTTACATAAAATAATCAGTTTTAATTCTTTCACTTTAAAATGTAACGACTAACACTTTGGATGAGATGATTACAGACTTTTATGCTGTAGATAACATATATAAATCAAATAAAACTTTTCAACGTTATTATCTTATCGAAAATTAATTCACAAATATTTTTAAACTCTCTTTTAATATGATTTACGCATTGTTAATTGTTATGCAAGCAATGAATAATTAAACCATTGTATTACCAAAATTCTTGTTACCGTCACTCTAATAGAATTTCGAGATATTGCCTACAATATCCACTTGAAGGTTATCTCTCATTTTTACGACATAAAACACTTAAAAAATACAATATGCGTAAAGTAAAAACAGTATTTATCAGCTAATCGAAGAATGCTATCACTAATGTACAAAATTACATATTTAGTTTGTAATATACATTATGATTCCATACTAGAACGCGAAAAGTATCAGATGCAAAATTTTATGCGTTTGTGCAAAATAAACTAACTACTACTATTTTGTTAAATATGCAAAGAACAATTATCACAGAACACTTACATTGTTAGTAAAAAACTGGTCACTTTAAACACCCCACTTTCACACTTCTTTTGTCAACACGTCAAACAGTCGTGATCTGACGAGATTCGAATTTAAAATCGTGATAGTCCACGTGTAACTAAAATATTAAGGTTATGAACGATGACTTTAATACGTAAAACTTACTCGATTATCTTTCGCAACACAAAACATGATTGGTGCTGCATTACGAAATTAAAAACCTATGAGCACAACACGCGCGTATGATTGTTTAATATTTGAAGAGTCTGTATACATATATATACATAGAATTATACGAGATCTTAAATATAAAAACAGGCTTATTCTTATATGTATATTATTCGTTTGAATGAATTATTTATACAAATACTATTTAATCTCATTCTGATAGTATCTAATTCTTATATGTATGTTATATTCGTTTAAATGAATTATTTATACAAATAGTATTTAATCTTAATCATGAGTAAAATCATAATATATATTTAACTATTGTGTTCGTAGATAATTTATTTCAATTGAATTTATGTAATGTATTCAGCAACTTCAAACAGAACTCCAGTAAGAAAGACAATTTTTTTTTTAGGTGCTGCAAGTTGAAAAGATTAAAAGTGCTTATTTAATGAAAAATATCTATATACAATGGCAAGGAAAAAAGACATTTACTTGTTGAAAATTTAATAACAGAGAACAATACTTCTTTTGAGAGGAAGTTTAATCTCAAATAATAAAAAGGTATTGGAAAACATGACAGATGTTAAACCAATTGGAATCTCTCAAAATCAGCAACAACAAACACAACAGCAACAACAGCCTCAACAACAACAACAACAACAACAGCAACCTCAACAACAGCAACAACAACAGCCTCAGCAACAAATGATGATTGCAGCCCATGATATTCAACAACAACAAAATGTACAACAACAACAACAGCATGTTCAGCAACAATCTGCTCAACAACAACAAGTACAACAACCGCAGCAACAAGTACAGTCCCAACAGGTTCAGCCACAACAACAAATTCAGCAGCAAGTGCAATCGCAACAGCAAATGCAAGTTCAGCAACAGGTTCAACAACAAGTTCAACAGCAAGTTCAGCAACAAGTGCAACAACAAGTTCAACAGCAGCAGCAGCAGCAACAACAGTCTCAGCAACAGCAGTCTAATAGTGGACACAATGTTGTTCCCACGCAAGTTCAAGTGCAGCCACAGGTAGCAGCAATCATGCCTCAGCAACAGGTGAAAATTTCTTGGAGAATAAGAAAAAGTGTGAGGATGTATCAAAACAGAATTTGTAAAATTATAAAAATGTTGTAGGGTGCTGTTGCAGTATCAATGCAACATCAACAGCAAGGTGTTGGTGGAGTGTCTATGACCTTATCTGGTCAACCAGGAGCAACAACTATAACTACTATGGCTGCTCATCCGCAAGCAGTACAAGTTATTCAGCAGCCTATGCAAAACCAAGCATATCACTTACAGCAGCTTTATAATACTCAAGGAACTCCGCTATTGATGCCAAGCAACCTGGCTCTTCATCCTGCAGGGATTAATCCTTCATCTATACAGGTATTTAAACATAATCATGGTTTGCTATATTTTATAGATATACAAATTCTTTTCTAAATAAGATACTTCACAGGTCATAACAGCTGGAAAACCATTTCAATCGGCTGCTCAACTCACGCCTCACATGTTGACTACTGCATCGACCCCGGGTCAGGGTGGAGGTCATCCTGCAGCTGGGGGTACTAAAGTACAAGGATTTCCTACTGGTTATTTACCTGTGCCTACTTCTGCTACACCTGGAGCAGGACAAACTTTAGTATTTGGACAATTAGGTGTATTAGGTTCTCCACAACCACCTCCATCCATACAACAGCAGCAGCAACAACAGTCTGCAGCTAAACAAGATCAAGTACAAAAGGTACGTTTATGTATAAAACCCGTGCTATAATAAACAATAGCATTCTGTGTTCAAATTTTCACGTGCTCATTGTTTTCGATATTTTTAGTATACCACGTGTCCAGCAGCTACGCCACCCGGCGGAAGAGGAGGCATGCAATTTGCACCATGGCAATTAACGCCACAAGTTGCATGGACAGGAATTCAACCCCCAGCATTTCTTACCAATCAAATATTCATAAGAGGTCCTAATCAGCCCGATATGTTCATACAGAGTCCACAACCGATTCAAGCTCACAATGGTTGGTTTATTGTTCATATAATATATTGTATGATCAAGAGATAAAACATGTTCTTCTCATTCGTCCAGCACTAGCCACGCAACAACAAATCCAGGGAGTACAACAGATTGCTGCTGCAAGTGCAAAACCAAAGGTAATGGATATACAACAACAGCAACAACAACAGGGTAAGCAGAGCACAGGTGGACAACGACCATTGAGCATACTGCCGTCCTCCCTACAAGCAGTACAAGCTGCCAATATACGAGCTGCCAGTTCCGTTTCTACGCAAACCGTTCACGGAGTACAAGCCACGGTATATGCACAGGTTACTATGGTTCCAGCAATGGTTGAAAGATCGGTTTCAGCTGCTGCGATTTTCGAGTCAATTGATTCAAAACATATCCAAGTTTTTTTTTGTTTGCATGTAATGAAACGAAAATGTTTTATTTTTTATGTTCTATAACATAGAGCGGCAAAGGAAGCGGGAGTAGCGGTAAAGGCCGTGGTAAACCACTGCAATCGCCGCAACAGTCACAGCAACAGTCACAGCAAACAATGCAACAACAACACCAACAGGTTTTTATTCAACAGAAACAGCACACACAGCAGCAACAACAAATGCAGCAACAGTATCAACAGCAACAAGTGCAACCCTCGCAACAACAAATACAGCCTAAACCCATAATGAGTGAGATTGCGTTCCATATATTATTTAGTGATTACAAGTTATGATAACAAGTTATGCGAATATCTAATTGCTATACTCTTTCTTTCAGCAAACATGGCCATACAGCAACAACAACAATCTGGTGTAGTCCTTGGTGGAGAACGCCCGATCATGCCTGTGGTTTCGGTAGGCGGTGTAGGGGTCGGTGTTGGAGTTGCTACCACGTCTCAAATGAACCAAGTACAACAATCACCAATGTCCACGGTGCAACAGTTACCACTACAGGTAATGTATATTATATTCTTTTCCAAACATTATACAATGCCAATATCTTATAATAGAATACGTTTCAGGCAATCAATTCGACAATAATTGGTAGTCAAATCGTTAGTGGGACGTCCCAGGTTCAAACAATGTCTATGGTAAATCAGTCGACGGATCAGCAAACCCACGATAATACTAATTCCACCATAATGATCACATCGCCCGATCGTAATCATCAAGCAGAGTGTTCTTTAGTGTTACCAGGCACTACGAATGTTCCGATTACAAACGACGAAAATTCTAAACAAATTTTGAAGAAGGAAGAAACTATGCCACTTACGATAGAAGAGATTACAGTACCACAACCAGAAGCGACAGGTTGGTTTAACGACAATAATGTATTTATTAGTTGATGTAAATTACATATATGTTTTGTATAGATGGGGACCAATGTAAAGTAGTCGTAAAGGATGAGGAATGTTCACCTGTGAAGCCAGATGATAAACCGTGCAACAATCCTTTGGCAGGACTGGCGAATACAATTAATTCTATAACGAACGGTGTCAGCAGCGAAGAGACTGCGGTATTACCTGTGTCGGTACCAGTTACTGCAAACAGTAAACATGTGCCTCCGAAAGCAATGGTTAAACCACAAGTTCTTACACATGTAATAGAAGGTTTTGTTATACAAGAAGGTAAAAAGAACTGAATCTTTACGTGATATTTACTTATACAGGTTATAATATTTATCTTTATGAATATGTCTGTTTCAGCATCTGAACCATTTGCTGTTAATCGAACGTCATTAAATAATACAGTTAGTCAAGAGAATAGTAATATTTTAAGTCGTAATAATAGCGTGTCCGAAAAAGAAAATCACGAAGAGCCACCAAGTAAGATTTTAAAAAGCTAATGTTTGGTACATAGATTCCCATTGAAATCGTGGCATTGATTAAATATTTTACTCCTCGCAGGGAAAAAGCATGCTCCCAATTATCCCAGTGACGAGGATGGGAGCAATATACAAATCGGAAAGTGTGAAACATGTGGTAATTTAGTGGACGAGCAGAATATTAAGTTCAAAAAGGAGAAGCGATTTTGTTCCACTGGATGCGCAAAGAGGTTGGTAGAAATATATAAGCAATTATGAAAGTACACTAGTCATATTAGAAACTGCATAAACGTGCGAGTTAATATAAAGTAAATTACTAATGTTTGGAACATTATTATCATAAGTTATGAATCGAACAGCAAAAAACGCGAAGCTAGAGACCGCGACGGACCTGAAAAACAGTGGACTGAGATGGAGACTGAATCGAAAAACATTGATGGAGACATCATCAAGAAGAATGGAGAAGAGAAGTCATTGTCTACCACAACTACTACGTCTTCTGTCGACGAAATACTGCCAAAAGTTAATCCTGTCAAGTGGACGGTAAGAATCTAACGCACTCTCATAGTTACAACAAAATAATACAATTCAAGAGATAACATCTTTATGTGATACATAGGTTGGAGAAGTATGCGATTTCATACGCGGTTTACCGGGCTGTGCCGACTACGCGGAAGATTTTGCTATTCAAGAAATCGATGGTCAAGCACTTATGTTACTCAAGGAAGATCACCTGATGTCAGCTATGAGTATTAAATTGGGGCCGGCGTTAAAAATTGTTGCGAGAATCGACTCCATGCGCGTAGAATCATTATCGAATTCTAATCCCACTTCTAATAACTCGTAAATATTTACTGCTTGAGATTTTTATCTTCAAAATTTCAAGTTGCAGCCTATGGGCTACAGGGTTTGTGCAAGTATTCGATCGGATTATAGATTTAAGATTTCTAAGAAAAACATAAGATGTTTTTATTCTCTTTTATTTTATTCAGTTCTGACAGAAATCCTTTCCTTTTTTCATAATTTAGTAGTAGTATTGATTACTATGAGTTTCAGTTCTTCAGATTATACCAATACGGTATAAAGATTGATCTCTGTAAGACGATATTTCGAGCCCCGTACTATTTCTTAGCATGCTCAACAGCTTCATCGGCATTTAAATAAAAGTACAGAATTTATTTAATTTTTTATTTTTATGTATTTAATTTTAATGTATCATATTGGTAAAAGACAGATATACAATTATTTGCCTATCGATAAGTCTTACGTTGATTGATTTTTATATGTGTAAATAAAATCTATTCTTCATTTTCTAAATTTAAAATGTATCTATATTGCATCTAAGAAATTTTGTAGACTACCATTTTATGAAGTATGGTTGGCTAGAACTATCAAGAAACTGAGTACAAATTATGTCCATTACAAGAGAAAGAAAAAGAACGTTGTATATATACTATCCGGCATATAAGCGATGTATTTTGTACTCGAAAATTACTTTTGGAAGGTGTACAAAAATGATTGCCTTCTGTAAGATTTACAATAATTCTGAAAGAAGATCAGGCATCTCAAAAAAAAGTTAGGCTTTATGATGAATAGTAATTTATGTGCTTGACAATTTCAAATGGAAATATAGGACGTTTGAAGCAACGTAATTAACATTATCGACCATGTACTTTGTAAATGTATCATGTGCACTCACCTTGCATACGTGTAAATATTAAACATAAAATGTTTATTTAATATACAAATTTTATAACATGAAATTTTAGTTATTAACAGAAGTAATCCTTCCATTTATAGTAATTTAATTTTAGTTATGTAATCGTTCGCTGTAAATGAAAAAATGATATATTTCTATTATTTGTATAAAGTACGATATGTGAAATGCAAGACAGTAGGTTTTACTCTTATGTAATATCTCATGAACGTCTGCCATGCAACGTGTTCATTGAAATGAAAAGGATATCAATGTGTTATTTATACTCAGTCCTTACGATTATGAACAGTGTAAATAGAATATTTATTCCCTAAGCATTTATTCAGTAGGTATATTTAATTCTGCATTGAATCATATACGAATTGGCAACCGATACAAAAATCATTTCAAAGGTCTAACATAACATTTGTATACATAACGTGCATAGTACTTTTTTATATTAAAACCTATATTTTCGTTTATGATAGCTAAATATATCATAAAGCAGATTCGTTTTATGTCAAATTTGTAAATCACTCAGGGCTTAAATACACAATAT